TGGGATTACAGGCGTGAGCCACTGTGTCTGGCCCATTTTTTTTTAACAAAGGGTGTATAGTCATGTCTTCCCTCTTAACTGGTCTAAGCAAAGCAGGACAACCAAGGGGAACTTAACTGATAACAAGGGTCATTAATTAAGAAGGCACCACTGGTGGATGTGATGGCGTCTGTAATTCCAACACCTTGGGGAGGCCGAGGCAAGAGGATTGCTTGCACTCAGGAGTTCAAGACCAGTCTAGGTAACATGGCAAAAGATACAAAAATGAACTGGGCACAGTGGCACACACCTGCAGTCCCAGCTACTAAGAAGTCTGAAGCAGGAGGATGACTTGAGCCCAGGAAGCGGAGTTGAGCTGAGATCGTGCTACTACTCACCAGCTTGGGTGACACAGCCAGATGCTGTCGAAAAAAGAAATAATAATAATAATAAAAAAGATGGCAGTGATTTTTTGCCCCAACATGATTTAATTCTCCCTAGTCATCGTACAGAACAAGAAAAATAAAAACAAGGCTGGGCACGGTGGCTCACACCTGTAATCCCAGCACTTTGGGAGGCCAAGGCAGGTGGATCATCTGAGGTCAGGAGTTCAAGACCAGCCTGCCCAACATGGTGAAACCATGTCTCCATTCAAAATACAAAAATTAGCCAGGTATGATCCCAGCTACTCGGGAGACTGAGGCAGGAAAATTGCTTGAACCTGGGAGGGGGAGTTTACTGTGAGCTGAGAGCACACCATTACACTCCAGCCTGGGTGAGAGAAAGAGACTCTGTCTCAAAAACAGAGAAAAAAATATAAGAAAGTGAATTAACCTGTAATATGAGAAACGGAAGTTGTAATCATACATGACTCAGACCACAGTCACATCGCTGAAAGTGCTGTCGTGGTTCATACGGCTTTTCAATAATATTTATTTTAACAGTGATCAGACCACATCCCTACCCTGGGGAAACCCACTTCGTGAAGCACAGCATTTGGAGGAAGAGGACAGGAGGAGGAGAGAAGGAACCCAAAACCCTCATTCAGCTGCTCTGCTCTACAAACTAGAAACACTGTCAACTTCTTTTGATACAAATGCTTATGACCCATTTTTATTAAGGAATTCTGTCACTTTTGGCGATTTTTCTGAGATTTCTCTATGGCACCTGCTCCTGAAATTTTCTTTTTATTTATTTGAGACAGAGTGTCACTCTTACCCAGGCTGGAGTGCAGATCTGAGCTCACTGCAACCACTGCCTCTCGGGTTCAAGCGATGCTTGTGCCTCAGCCTCCTGAGTACCTGGGATTACCGGCATGTACGACCATGCCCAGCTAATTTTGTATTTTTAGTAGAGATGGGGTTTCACCATGTTGGCCAGGCTGATCTCCTGCATCAGCTTCCCAAACATGTTCCAGACATGTTTATCATGCTAAGGTTTCTAGTTCATGTACAAACTATACGTTTCCATTCTTTTAGACAGTCTTTGATTTATTTGATCAGAGGGTTTTAGTTTTCAGGATACAAGTCTAGTACCTTTTTTGCTTCTTTTTATTTTTTATTGTTGTTTCTTTCCTTCCTTCCTTCCTTCCTTCCTTCCTTCCTTTCTACCTACCTACCTACAGGGTCTCCATATCTCACACCGGAGCACAGTGGTGCTATCAGGGCTTATTACAGCCTTGACCTCCCAAACTCAAGCATCTCTCCCACCTGAGCCTCCTGAGTAGCTGGGACCACAGGTGTGTGCCACCACACCTGGCTAATTTTTTAAATGGAGGAAAAAGAAGAGGTGGAGTGAATAGAGTCAGGAGGACAGAGACAGGGAGACACGGAGAACAAGGACTCCTCCCAGGGCAGAACAGGCATGCAGCACCCCAGCCTCCCTGCTCCCCAGCACCCACAATCTCATGAAGGGGACAGGACTCACCTTCGACAAAGCCTGTCATCCAAAGTCAGGGCCAAGAGGCAATTCTGGCCTTTCATCTTCACCACGAGGGATGCCTCGGAGCTGAGGGACCACGGACAGCACTGCTCGAAGCAGACCCTGAAGGTGCAGTTTCTACACCCCTGGGTCTTGCCCAAGGGCACGATGGCATCGTCATAGCAACAGTGCTGCAGGGGGTCATAGAACTTGTCCCCACATCTCATGTGCCACTGGCACAGCATCAGGTAAGCACTCATGGGGGCCACTGGAGGAGACAGAGCTGGTGAGGTCCAGGTGGTGGTGGCAGGTGGGTCCCAGCCGGGGGTTCCCTGGGAAACACACTCCTCCCCCAGCTTCCCAGTCCCTCCTGGGCTCACCTGAGGCTCTGTGTGAGCAGAGGAGCCTGAGGATATACAGAGAGACCAAGACAGCTGTGGGAGAGGGAAGGGGAGGAGGGGTGATCAGGAAGCCATGGAGAATCCTTGGAAGCCCAGCATGGGGAAGGGTGGCTCCTAGGGAGTCTCTGCCCTGAGTGAGGCTCTGGGAAAAGCTAGAAGCCGACCTTGGGTGGGGGCTAGAAGCTGACCTTGCGCTGCCCTCCTGCAGAGACACGCTGGGCCCTGGGGCGAGAGATGTGCCAGACAGGTTATGTGTCATAGTGGATTTGATGCCATGTCCATTGAGAGCCAGGAGAGGACTGATGCTCCCTGCACCCTCTGTCTCTCTCTTCTCCAGAATGGAGTCTTCTTTGGCAAACAGGAAATTGCAGGATGGTCCAGGGGGTCGTCCTCACCCTCCCACACCCACACATCCACAGTCTTACATCCCACCCTGTGAGTCTAGAGCTGAGACATGGACCGAGGGTTACTCTACGACCTGGTCCCCTTCTAGATGTGAATCAGTGCGAGGGCCCAGGCCAGCAGCAGTGTGAGGCCATCCTCTGATGGGGGAGCCACATGGTGTCCAGACACAGCGGGAGCTGAGAATTCAGGAAAATCTCCCCAGTCAGCTCCAGAGGTGCCCACGGTGTGAGTTCAAGTGTCTCCCAGGTAGGGACCAAAATATCTTCATCAGCCCAGGCCTCTGAAGTACATACATTTATTTAGACTCCTCTGTCTTTGCAGATATATATAGCTAAAGACTGTAGACAAAGAGATAGGTATTATTATCAGGATTTTTATCAGGATTACAACATTTTTCATGCGTCGGCACATAGTTAACAGCAATTTTCTTATAGCAATGAGCCACTCTGCCTGGGCCCAGCTGATTTTTGGCAAAGTTGCAAAAGCAAATCAATGAAGGGAAGAGAACTTATTAACAAATGGTGCCGAGCAATTGGACATCCATAGGGAAAAAAATCAAAAGAACATCAACCTCTCTCCTCCTTCACACCTTATATAAAAACTAACTCAAAATGGATCACAGTCTGAAGTGTAAGACAAAACTACAAAAATTTTAGAAACGAACATACAAGAAGATCTTCAGGATCTAGGGCCAGGCAAACAGTTCTTAGATTTGATGTCTGAAGCACAGTTCATAAAAGGAAAAACTGAGAGATTGGATGTTATCCAAATGAAAAACTCTTGCTCAAAGAAAAACCCAGTTAGAAGGACAAATAGGCTGTAGTCTGGGAGAAGATATTTGCAAAGCACATATCTGACAAAGGACAATTCTCTAGAAAATGTGAAGAACTATAAAAACTTAATAGCAAAAAAAAAAAAAAAATCCGTTTAAAACATGGGCAAAAGTCCATGTGTGGTGGCTCATGCCTGTAATTCCAGCGCTTTGGGAAGCTGAGACAGGTGGATCACATGAGGTCAGGAGTTCAAGACCAGCCTGGCCAACATGGCGAAACTCAGTCTCTACTAGAAATAAAAAAATTAGCCAGGCATGGTGGCAGGTGCCTGTAATCCCAGCTACTAGGGGGACTGAGGCAGGAGGATCACTTGAACCTGGGAGGCAGAGGTTGGCGTGAGCCAAGATCATGCCACTGCACTCCAGCCTGGGCAACAGAGCGAGACTTCATCTCAGGAAAAAAAAAAAAAAAAAAAAGGACAAAAGGCATGAAGAGGATCTGGTGCCATGGTTCATACATGTAATCCCAGCACTCTGTGGATCCAAGGTCGGGGGATGGCTTGAGGCCAGGACATCTCCTCAGTGTATATGCTCATTTACAGGGACAATTAGTAGAAAAAGTAGTCAGAATTCGTAGAAGCAGTAGTCAAGGAGAGGGAGGGAAATATAACTTTTTTTTTTTTTTTTAATAGAGACGGGGTTTCACCATGTTGCCAAGGCTGTTCTCAAACTCCTGGGCTCAAGTGATCTCTGGGTCTTCCAAAGCTTTGGGTTTATGGGCGTGAGCCACCCTGCTAGGCCAAAAGGAATTTAAAACTGAATATGCCTCCCTCTACCACAAGAGGGAGCCGTAATCCACGTTAATATTTCAGGAGCAGGACCCAGATGTCGGAGTCAAACCAGCTCTGATGTCTTGCCAGGCTGAGGATGTAATTTAGGGACATTTAGGAAATTCAACTGAAACTCATAGAATTACCTAAATGAAAAGGTCTCTGAAGGATTTTCTTTCTCCAGTATGGTTTGCTTAATTTTGTGGCCTCAGACAGCTGCTAACATTGTTCAAGTTTGGAGGTCCCAAATATTCTGGCACCTTCAAAAAGATGAGTTTCCCTCTGGTGAAAACACTGTCACCGGCTTCTTCACACTGCCTGGGTCAAGATATTGTGTTTTGTTTTTTGTTTTGAGATAGGGACTTGCCATGTTGGCCAGGCTGGTTTGAAACTCCTGGCCTCAAGCAATCCTCCTGCCGTGGCCTCCAGGCTGGAGTGCAGTGACATGATCTTGGCTCACTGCAACCTCTGCCTCCTGGGTTTAAGACATTCTTCTGCCTCAAGCTCCCGAGTAGCTAAGATTACAGGCATCTGCCACCACACAGGCCTGGCTAATTTTTGTATTTTTTATTTTTAGTAGAGACGGGGTTTCACCATGTTGGCCAGGCTGACCTCAAACTCTTGACCTCAAGTGATCGGCCTGCCTGGACCTCCCAAACTGCTGGGATTACAGGCATGAGCCACCCCGCTGGGTCGTTTCCCACCTTCTAACCTCCCATACAGGTTAGATTATATGTGGGAACTACCCATGGGACCATCCCTCGTGGGCACCACCGCTTATAACAGAGAAAGCTCCTAGCAGGTATAGCTGACTAATGAACCCTTAGCCTCTGCCTTCGAAATTATTGGAGCTCCCACACTGATATGTGACTTTGCAGTAGAGGATCTGAGATATATATGTGTGTGTATATACCTATATACATACATATACATACACACATGTACATATACACACATACATATATGTGTGTGTGTGTGTATATATATATATGAGTGATACATATATCACTCTGTCTCTGTCGCCCATGCTCAAGTGCAGTTTGTGATCTCAGTTCACTGCAACCTCCACCTCCTGGGTTCAAGCAATTCTCCTACCTCAGCCTTCCAAGTAGCTGGGATTACAGACATGGACCACCACACCTGGCTAACTTTTGTGTTTTTAGCAGAGTAGCTCCTCTCCTCCTGACTCTCCTGTTCTTTCTGCCCGTATGCAGTCTCTCTCCCATCTCTGACTATCTTTGTCCTGCTCAGTGTCTCTTCAGTGTCAGCCCAGACTGGAGTACAGTGGCTCAATCATGGCTCACTGCAGCCTTGAACTCCAAACTCAAGAGACTCCACCTCTCCCCAGCTCCCAGCCTAGGGCAGTGCATTCAGTCCAGAAAGGGCGGTGCACTAGCATCTTTTATCCTGCTGTCTACATGTTACAGATGCTCCACATCAGTCCAGAAAGGGCAGCATCTTTTATCCTGCTGTTTCCATGTTGTGGATGTTCTATATTAGTTAGAAATTGTGGCTTACAGGACTGGGGCTCCTTCTCCCATCCAGCCTCTCCTCCTAGCGTGGAAGTTATACACCAAGTTTAGTAGGTCAAGCACACTGGGCTTCATTGATACAGTGGCATTGATACACCCCCACCCCCTGAGCCTCCCAAGGAGCGGGGATCACAGGCATGCACTACCAGGTGAATTTTGGTATTTTTTTGTAGAGTTGGGATTTCACCATCTTGTTCAGGCTGGTCTTGAACTCTTGGGCTTAAGGAATCCTCCCTCTTCATCCTTCCAAAGTCCTGGGATTACAGGTGTGAGCCACTTTGCCAGGCCTCTCTGCCTACGGAAATGAAACCCTCCGTTTCCCATTCTGGGTGCTGGCTCCAGTCTTTGGAGTTGGTGCTTCCAGGCGTGCTTTCCTCAAAATTTGTGCTGGAAGAAACCTTCTTTAAATTAGATTCTGAGGGTTTTGATCCTTTTAGGTTGATACCATCCAGTCTTTGGTCACCAAAGACCCTTTGCAGAACCGCTGAGCCACTGGACTGGACTGGAGCTGGTGTCAGGGACAGCAGCCAGCTTCCCCTTCGGCGATGCCTTTGCTCTACAGCTGGAACACTGGGAGTGGGTGGTAGCTGCTAGTCTTCTCCGTTTGCCTTTTCTTGCATGGAACCTCTGCCGCATGAGCAAACTCAGGCAGTATCAATGAAGCCCAGTGTGCCTGACCTACTAAACTTGGCGTATAACTTCCACGCTAGGAGGAGAGGCTGGATGGGAGAAGGAGCCCCAGTCCTGTAAGCCACAATTTCTAACTAATATAGAACATCCACAACATGGAAACAGCAGGATAAAAGATGCTGCCCTTTCTGGACTGATGTGGAGCATCTGTAACATGTAGACAGCAGGATAAAAGATGCTAGTGCACCGCACTTTCTGGACTGAATGCACTGCCCTAGGCTGGGAGCTGGGGAGAGGTGGAGTCCCATTTTCTTGTCCATGACTGTCCAGATTAGAGCTTCAATTACACAGAGTTGGCTGGGGATGTGGAGAGTAGGGGTAATTTGTGGCTTAAATGCTCTCAGACTCTGGCTGCTCTGTACAGATTGAGTAGAATTTCTTGAATAAACATTTCTTCATTTGCTGTATGCCCTTAGGACAATTTCCTGATACTTAATTAGCTGATTTTATTTAAAAAAACATTTTCATCAGTTAAATGGTTGTTTGGCTGGGAGGAGGGCTCCCATGCTCGTCACACTGGCATCTGGAAGTCCTGCTTTGTAGTTTGAAATCTTTTGTGTGTAAGTCTATGATCCATTTCAAATTAATGTTCACATTTCGTGTGAGATAAGGGCCACAATACATCCCCCCATATAGATAGGTATTAAAAGGACTAATCTTTTCCTGGTGAGTTGTAGTGGTACATTTGTCAGAAATCACTGATTGTCTATGTGTGAATCTGTATCTGAACTCTGTTTAATTCCATTGATAACGTTATTTTCCTTGTGCAATACCACACTCTAATTTATTATAGTTTTATAAAAAATTCCCGATCTTTTAGGGTAAGTCCATAACTTTGTTTAGTTTCTTCAATATTATATTGGCTATCTTATCATTTTCTGATAATTTTTAAAAAATTTTTTGTGCAACTAGAGTCAGGGTGTCACTGTGTTGTCCAGGCTAGTCTTGAGCTTCTGGGATCAAGCTATCCTCCTGCCTTGGCCCAAAGTGCTAGGGTTACGGGTGTGAGCCACCACACCTGGCCATCATTTTCTGATACAATTTAGAATCAGTTTGTTAAGTTTTACAAGACCTTGCGGTTATATTTATTGAATTTGCCTTGAATTTATAGATCGATTGGGGGAACATTGACATCTTTATTACATGGACTCTTCCAAAGCATAAACATAGTATGTTTCCCATTTATTTAGGTCTTCTTTAATATCTTTCAGCAGAGTTTTGCAGAGGTCTCTCACCTTTCTTTAGATTTGATTCTAGGTATTTGCTATTTCTGATGTCACTGTAAATGGTAATGGAGGATTGGCTTCTATCTAAACCCATAAAACAAACCTCAGCAAGTTCTAAAGTATTGAAATTTCACAGAGTATGTTCTCTGACCATAATTTGATCAAACTACAGATTATAGAAAGATCTGCAAGCACTTGGAAGCTAACGAACACATCTCTAAATAACTCATGGTTTAAAGATGAGTCTCGAAGTGTTGAGAAATGCTGAGTGTGTGATGGAATGTATCGTTTGCTAGGAAGAATGAACACAAGGAGAAGCTAGCCACCCGCCCCCCCACCAAGTAGAAAACTACTTGAGGTATTCTAAAGTGGCAGGATAATGTATAAATATCATACACCAGTTAAAGCAATTCTTTAAGCACGGGACATCTGACCCTGCCCCCGTGAATCCCTCGTGGAGAATACTTTTTAGTTTGTCGGTGATCAGTGGGAAGCAGGCACCAGCTGCCTACTTGGTATATTTTGTGTTATAAGAAAATACGAAACATCTGTTTGTTAGTAATCATCACCTGTTCAGAGAGAATAAATGCGGGGGTCAGAGTCTGCTCGAGGCCCTCAGCCCGGAATGCTGTCCGCCCCTGAGGCTTTCAGCCTGAAAGGCTGTTGACCCCCCCAGCTAGACCCACTTTGCTGTTCTATCCAGGTGTCTGCTTCTCAATTCCTTCAGCGCTGCCTGGGTGGGGTTCTCTATAGGAGAGCTGGTTCTTGGTATCAAAGATTTAAAAAAATATATTTAACTTAATGAAATGACAATACAATATGTCAAAATTTGTGAAAATATATAAAGCAATGCTAAGTAGGAAACTGATTGCACTAAATAGTTGTATTAGAAAAAAGGAAAAA